AGGCGGTGACGACGCCTTTGCCAGTGCTCGTGTCGACCAATCAGTGTCGCGGATCAGTAGGACTCAAAGTCGAGTCCTAATTGATTCCAACACAGACGCAATAATACATCGTAGAAAGGGAAAAGGAGCCAGTTCAATTCAAGACTTAGAAGGGAAAAAAAGAAACATAATACCCATTATTTTCCCGCAAAACAAAAGGACCATGAGGAACAAAACTCCAACACCTTCTATACCCAGAAAACAACCAAGAAAACTCCAACACTCTCATCCTCCCCACTCAAAAAAAGCAAAGAAAAAAACGCCTACAACACCAATTCCCCAACCCCCACCCATCATCACGCCCACCCTCCCGTCTCCTCAAACACCCCCATTCATCTCGCAGGTGGCTGCACCCAATGCCTCAACATCTGCGCAACCGCCCAATTCCACTCATTCACAAACGCCTCCGTCAGCTGCGTAACCTGCTCTGCCGTCGGTGCGTGTCCACCCCACATGGCTGGCTGCGAAGCCTGGTAGCGCGCGTAGTATGGGATGAGTTGGCTTTTTTCCCCAGTTAGCAAAGTAGTCGTTTGCTGAGTTTACGGGCCTTGAGAAATGAAGGGAATGGGGGGGGAGGGAGGTGAAAGAGAAGAGAGAGGAGGGGAAGGGTAAGGTGGTAAGGGGAGAGAGAAGGGACGCACTCGGCTTGTATTTTACTGAGAACGAGCCAGCATAGGTTCCAGGAGCGGTTACTGGCTGGGTCGGTGTAGACGCGGCGTTTGGCTTCGTCGAGGCAGTTTGAACTTTTTTTTTTCGTTGTTAATCAATTTTTTTTTCGAAATGCATGTTTGGCGAGTTACCTAAATGGATAGTTGCGAGTCAAGCCACGGAGTTCGGTTAGGAGGCTGTGGGAGTCGACGTAGTAGGACCCTAAGAATTGAGAGAAATTTGACGTTAATTTTATGATGCGTTTGGGAAAATTGGGGAACTTCCTGACTTACATGCTGATGTCATGGCTTCGCTACAGTCGGAGGTACCGAGGACTGCGAATGCTTTTTCGATGCGGCGGAGTTCAACTACGGAGTTTACTCGGTGGGCTCGCAAGGCCTGAATGTATTTTTCTTTCTCTGCCTGGGTGATGTTAGATGTATGAGAATAGTGATGTTACGGAGCAGGGCGGGAATGATGATTGGGGAGAATGATAGCGTACAATCGTGATTCTTTGAGTTGAAGACATTGTGAAAGACTTTGGCACGTAGTATATACGAGCTGGTGGGCTGTTGAATTCCTGAAGTTCGGTATCGGTTAAGTATCTGAGCCGATCTCGCATACAAGTTCTCTGAAGATGGTATTCGATGAGCGACACAAATTTCTTAAGGAATATATATGTCGAGTTCTGGGATACTGTTGTTCCTGTTTTGAGTGAGGCATGTGGAATAGGAAAATGAAGTCATTATATAAAGCTGTACCCAACCTTCTACCTTCCATTTGATGACGCCCAAGGCTGGTATCTTGCTGTGTGTAAGTTCAGCTGGAACAAGATAGATTCGGAAAGCCTCCACAACCAAGAGCAAAGGAGCGTTCTGTTTAACCAAGCCACATGGTCATGAAGCCACAAAATGTTCCCAAACCCCACAGCCCAGGATGATGGAACCAGCTAGGCAAGGTAAGTATGGAGGTATTCAGTAAGATGCTAATCTTCTTAAGACAAAAGTGGTCAGCTTCATCGCCTACAAACATCCATGCAATGAGATCTATGGGAACGGCCATGCTCCTGGTGAGTTGATAGGTTTGTTGATTGGCACCAACAGCCTTTTCCGGCGTCGAACAGAGATGCTATCGTCAGACTATGGGCAAGGATGAGTCGATCATGGACCTGGCGGGCCGGCAGATCCAAGCTCACGCGCCGTCATGATGGTCCCATACTTTTGGCACTCATGAATCAGATGCTAAGCTTATGTGCTAAGTGCTCATTCGTTGTATATTCGATATTGTCCGACATTTGTGTGCAAAATGGAGCCTTATTGGCCATAGTTTGGTATTCCTCGAGTCAAAAATAATCCTGGCTGGAGGGATCAGAGACAAGCACCTATCGGCCAAGTTTCATTGTACGAGTTCGCAGCAGAATGACCAGCTGAAGGTACCAGTTTGCAGTTGTGTTAGTGAGCCTGGCGCAGGTGAATCGGAGAGTGCGATACACGCCCGGAAGTCTGGGTTTCCGACGTATATCTGGGAGGCCTGATGTCACGATCAGTAAATAAACCTGGAGTTTGGGTTTGAGGCTGAGGCTGATGGCGAAGCTGACGGTGCAAGGAATCAAGTTTGGGGAGGCTTCGGGACTGCCGCACAGTGGCTAGTAATCTAGCGTGTGGCTCAGCGACTCTAACTCCAACTTCACTGCTGCTCCCCATCAATCGCCGGTCATTTTGAAGCTGCTCACATGGCCATGCGATATGTTTCTGAAGTCTCGTGAATACGCTGATCAGTAAGGCATAACGGTGCGCTCCATGATGGGAAATTTTCTCTGCTCAAGACGAAACTGTACCATCGACCTTGCAGTTTACTAGCCACAATTGCGATCGCGACCCAAAACAATGTCATCCTTGCCAAGGGGAAATGTCTACGAGGCTGAAAGTGGGTGCGTCAGCAGTCTAACGTGAGAAAGAGCCTCCACACTGGCGAGTCAGTACGCCCACAAAATACAACGGGATGATGCAATACCAACAGCCTTGTCTGGGTCATACCCAGAAGTTGATTGGACATATGGTACCAAGCTTTCAATGATCGCCTACTAGAGGATATGCTTCTTATGGCTCACATCATCGACGGGCCCATGACATGGTCAGCCAGTGCTAGGTTCGGAAGGAGACATTTCCAGGAAGGGATTCCAAAGATACTAGAATGGGAATGTTTGGTCACGTAGTCGTCTGCAGCTGAGAGACTGCAGGCTTGACAACGACGTCAAACCGCTCAAAGCGCACATTGGCCATGAATGATGGCTGGCCACACCTCCGCCCCTGTCCAACAGAGGATCTGGATACCCTATGCTACTCAAGCCTAGAACAAGGATTTGCATCCTCTTCAGCTGGAGCATTTTTGGGTCGCCTTATTTTGTGAAGAATCAGTGATGCCCATCACCATCTTCATTCGCGCTCACACTTGTTTCAGAATCAGAGCATGGCTCAAGTGAGTTACTTTCCTCGCACTTCCAGATATCTAAAATTGTCAGCTCAACTATTTCTATCCCTCTTGTTGATGCAAAATAGGAAGACGCATTGACTCGTAAAGATTCATGTTGATTGATTCTTTTACATCAGTGGGCAGGCAGTCTTTCGACTCTGCAATGCCTTGGAAGTCATCATCCACCTCTCGTACCTAACGCCTAGACTAAGGCACTCTATATGCTCAGCGCCATGATGGAGTTTACGATGTCGTTATCGTTCTCCTTGAGAGCCTTGACGGCCTTCTTTCGGGAGACGCTGGCTTGCTGCATGACGAGCTCGATGTCCTTGCCCTCGAGGCCAGAGTCGTCGATCTCCTCGTCGTCATCCTCCTCCTCTTCCTCCTCCTTCTTGTCCTCGACAGCCTTGCCCTTGCCGTGGTCGTGGTCGTGGTCGTGGCCAGCGTGGTCGTGGGACTGAGCCTCGGCTTGAGCGAGCTGCTGGGCGGCGGAAGCCTGGGCCTGGGAGTTCAAGTCCTCAATCTTGGCCTCACCGAAGATGCTGGTGCGGGGTCAGTAGGTGGGACGGCAATTGAGGGGCAGTAGACTAACATCCAGGTGTTGCTCGAGGGAGACTTGTAGACGTCAGGCTGGTTGATGACGAAGAGGATCTGGCTAGTTGTTAGCTCCAATTCCATCACAGCGGCTCTGCCCGCATCTCTGTTGTTTGACTGCGGGCTTCCACCATCAACACCAATTGGCTCGCGGGCACTCACGTTCTTCGGTCGGCGCAGGGTGACACGGGTGATGCCTTCGATGTGCTTCAGACCGAGCTTGGCAATGGCCTTGCGAGCCTTCTTCTCGTTGCGAGAGTGGACGGCGACGGAGGAGCCCGCAGGCACGTTGACCTCACCCTCCTCAGCCTCGGACTCGTCGCTGGACTCATCCTCCTCGATCTGAGCGTTCTTCTTCTCGGGCTCGTCGGGGATTTCTTCGATGCGTGGGTTGGCCATTTTGTCGGTGTGTGGGTGACGAGACGTGGTGATGGTACTGGTGCTGCAATATCGAGGTCCGCCGGGTGGTGGTCGCAGCTTCCCCCAAAAATGATTTGTGGGCGGTTTAGCGCGGGCAGCTCCTCCCCCAAAAGTTCGCATATGACGATTGCCTACTACAACCGCTGCTACGGCTACTACAGCAATCACATTATCCTCGCATAGTCACTATTTCACAGAAACAAGCCAGTTCAAAGAGGGTATCAAATTGGCAATTCTAGTTGCAGTCTTTTGTTGTGTGTTCATGAAATTGTGGATTGGACTCTCTTGCTACATGTAGAATGCATGCGAGAGCCGAGTAAACGTTTCCCATACCGAATTGCACCATGCCAAACATTGGACTTATTCACCCGAAGCCAGGTCTTGAATTTTTGAATGCCTTTGAGGGTCGCCTTCGGAATGCTCATGAAAAATGCACATCATGCCTCTCCGTCACCTGCATGCAGCGACCTCCACAACGCCTGTCTCCCGACAGCATCTAGAATACCTATGCCTTTGCGCTGGCGCGGATCTTGGCAAAGGTCTTCTGGACCTCGAAGCGGGCCTGTGTGTGTCTGTTAGCTATGCCATTTCCAGACTGCGCAAATTCCCCAGGACACAATCCAAATTACGACCGGTCACAGGGGGCAACGCCAGACGCAACGTACCTGCTTCCTCATCTTCATGACCTTGAAGCGCTCAAAGTCGTTCAGTCCCCGCCTCTTCTGCATGGCCGCACGCTTCTTTGCCCATGCGCTCTCGTCGAACTTTTGCTGGACCTTGTGCTCTTCCCACTTCTTTGCAACGTGACCAACACCGCTGGCGCGGGGAAGCTTGGGGATGACGATGGGTGTGAGGGAGAGTTTGGCAAGGGCGATCTCCTGGCGGGGAACGGGGGCCTTCTCGGAAGGACCATCGACGAGAACCTATGCTTCTGTGAGCGGCTGAATAGCAACCGAGTCCGCGGGTTTCCGTACACGCTTGTGGTCAATGATCTCGACAATGGCAGCCAGGCGACCCTCGTACTGGCCCTCGTTGAAGAGGACCACACGGCCGACCTCGACCAGCCTCCAGGCACTCGTTGTGATTTCGGCGTCACCCATTTCGTCGGTTGTGCTGCGAATGAATGTTAGACAATGAAGCGAGTATGGTGCAGCGTCGAGAGGCGTACTGGTCGGAAATTAGGTCGTTGTGTGATGTTCTGTTCGGAATGTAGAGACAATGCGATCGAAAATCCAAGTGCGGTGCCGGGGCCGTGCACAAGCGAAGCCCGGCTTGGCGCTAGCAGAAAAACGCAACCGCGACCGCAACTTATTTCTTTACATCTTGGCCTCACAAACACCAGCAACATCAACGCCCGCCTGCAGTCTTCTGCGATGCACTCGCTGCATCTGTGCTATGCGCATAGACAGAGCGCTTCTGACGGATGAGGGTTGATGCGCCTTCCCGGCTACGGACACATCTACTCATTCCTCTGCAAACTGGCTGCAGCTGCAGCTTAGCTCGATAGCTCCACTGGTACGTCTCCATCCTCCGCAATTTTCCTCGCCCTCCAAGGATGACATAATTTGCGATTGAGCCCGTCGTCGGAGACCCTCGCCGGGGTCTCTTAACGGCGGCGGGTTTATGATATTCAATTTCTTACATATTCTGAGTTTGCTTCACACACCCAGCTTATCATGTCGATGCTCTATGGAGGACCTTTGCTAACTGTGAAAAGATTTTAAGCACATTCCCACTCATAGCTCATGGGTCTACGACTTGGTTTTGCATTGTGATGTAGCATAAGAGGTTTGCTCACTTACTCTGAAGCCACCAGTATATTTCATCAAGGTCAGTCCAGCTTTACTTGCATCATCATGCGCCCCCCTTCCAATGATTACAACATGCAATAGATAGTAGATGATTACGATGATTACTACTTTATCACCAAGATCACTGAGGAAGATTTCAATCACGCTTTTGCTTGATATGGCTTTGTCTTGGTGCAAATAGCTAACAAGCTTGCAGATTTATCAAATGCGAAGCTTGGGTCTTGGATCCCATTCGTGGAATAGCATCTACCGATACTGTCAACGGTCCCATATCAAATAGTATGGAGTAACGTGACATGTTCACTGTAGACTAGAGATATTTCCCATCGCGGGATGTCTTCGCTATGTACATGTGCCAATAGTAGATTACAAAGGTAGGCGCAAGATTGACCTTGGATGGGTCATTCATACTCATCAGTTAGCTAGAAGTATAGTAACTAGCTTATCCATCAATCACGTTTCCCTCAACCATCCTCTGCTCAGGTGTTCCTCCTCTCCTCCGTGTGATCTTTCTCCCATAGTTGCGGTAGAGATTCATCAACAGCTCTCTCACTACAGGATGGAATACTGTTCTTGCGTCAAACTTGCTTCCACTATATGGAAACGCTACGATTTTCCTCCAGTCGGCATTGTCCTCGAAGTAGAATTCCAAATCGAACGCGTCTGCTTTCTTGAGCATGTCTTTGAGCACTTCCCCTTTGTGACCGTTGATGTCTGCCCATGCCCAAAGAGCGGGATTGTAGAAGTCGAGGGTAGCTGATGCCTCTGTTGCAAGGATCTGCGCATTGAACAACAGATGTCGAAGAGTATTCAAGTCACAGTCGCAGTCTATAACCGCATACTGCAACATCTCCGTGGTAATACCCTTTGGCACGCCCAAAAGCACCGCCAGAGCCGCAACTGCATGCTCATTGCCCTCTCTAACAGCTTCTCGAATACCCGCTTTTGCCACCTCACCGGCCATACTACCCTCCCAATCAATCTCACCGTTCAAACTCACTAGGACATACAGCAACGACGCCTTGTCCTCTGTCCACGGCCCATGCAGCAATTTCTCAGGAATACTGAAACCACGTGCAAACCCCAAATACGGGATCTTGGTAAACATGTACGGCAACAGTCCGTCAAAGTATGATACATCAGGTATAGTAACGCCAGTGGCTGCCCACGCTTTCCCGCGCAATTTGACCATGGCCTCGTGCGCGCGCTGCACGTAGGCTAGGAAGAACTCATAGGTGAAGAAGCGGCAGGATAGAATATCCGATTGCAGTGCTGGGTCGCTGGTCACTCTCCGGTCCCGATAGTTGGTGCGGTGATCGACTGTGTGGTAGAAAGAGCGCATTGTAAACTCCATGGTGATTGCGCGTGAGGATAGTTTTTTGCCTAGAGAAGGAGAGCATTGCGGGAGGGCAATGTTCATGCTGTGTAGGAATATCATTTCCAGCAATTCGACGGGAAGGCCTTCGAGTGTTGGCATGGCGGGCGTTGCAACTTTAACTTTGCTTTTTGTTTTTGGTTTCTTTGGCCGTTTTGGTTGAGAAGTAGTTGTAGAAGTAGGTGCGGAGGATGCCTGTATAAGTGCTGCGGGTAAATGCTTTCGTTTCTTGCCGCGTACGATGATGGGTGTAAGATCCATTGGTCTTTTTGTAGGTGCCGCGTCACCAGTAGGCACCAGCATATCGGCATGCATGTAGTAGATGGATCGGGAAAGGTCCGCTGCGATTAAGACTATAGGTGGTGCGCCTCACCTGGTGCGTGCACCGGTGTGGCTTTGCCGCGGCGTTGTTCCTGGCTAGCGTGGATCGTGTTTCCGCTGTTCTTCCTGTCGCGCAAACAAAAGACGTTCAACACAGCCTAGCGACGATACGCGCACTCGCAGCGCCCTCGATCGGAAGAGAAGTAGAAGATTTAGGGAAAAGAGTCGGAAAAAAATGCAGGTCCACGCTGTACCAGATTCGGAGCGCGCGTTTGATTCGACAGGGAGGAAGCTGCCCTGGGCGTATGAGTTTGCGGAGTAAGTCTTTCTTTCGCTGTCTTTGTCCAGTGTGGATCGTTTGATACTGGAAAGCGCGTCATTGAAGAAGCCTAGACATATCAGTCTACTTTTCCTCGCTATGTTCGCATATGGAAGACCTGGAACGGGAAGATGCTGTAATTAAGCGCACGCGGCTGACACCAGACCTCAACAGCTCAGACCAAAACCAACGTCGTCTTCCCGAAGAGAAAGGTCCCTTTGGAAAAGCACGGAAACGCGGAACTTCACGAGCAAAAACGCCCTTGGGCGCCAACCAAGCGGCCGACGAAGCGAAACTACTCAACCAACGCGCAATCGATGACATATTTGGTCGGTACAAGGCAGAAGAGGACAAGAGGCGCTCAGTATCATCGCGTCCCATTGCCGCGCTTCCCCCATCCGGCTCAGTACCCAACTTGATAGACGCGAGCAATGGACTTAACAATTCCTTTGCCGCCGGTCCATCAACAAACTCGGCCTTCATACAAGAACCAAAGGAAGTAATACTCTATGGCTACGGCAGCGATGCACAATGGGCAGCGATATCACACTACGAAAAGGTCTCCAACGGTCTCATTTACGAAGAATACGACCGTGAGCCCTACAACCCAAAGTTCGGATACACGTTTACTTCGCAACGGGCGTCGCATTACCGGTCGCTAAGCAAGGCATCTCTGAGAAAAATAAATGAATTCGTCGGTGGCGACCATTGGATCAAAGTGACATTCGACAGCGCCGAAGCAGCAGAGCGCGCATGCCACTACAGCCCCAAAAACATCCAGGGCTACACCGTCTACGCCGAAATGTACAGAGGAACCGGCCCTCAAGGCGGCGACCGCCCCATCCGAGCAGAACCAGGAAATTATTCGCAAGTCACCTCTCCAAACACCATCTCCTCAGGTACCATTGGCCCCCGCGGCATCAGCACATCGCAATCCTCTGCCACCGCCTCGTCCGCCACAGCAACCGCCTCGCAACCCACAGGATTACTAGCACCAAACGGATACCGCAGTCCAAACGACATCCCGGCCTTCATGCGCAGCACAGCCGGCTCCTTCCCCTCGCACCTCGATGACATGCCTGTGGAACCCGAAAAAGAAGAACACCGAGTCCTCGATCCAAATACCATTCCCGCACGCAGTATAACTACCGCGCTGAACCCCCGCTCCCAACGTGCGACACTGCGTCTTAAAGGCGCAAACGTCAAGCCCGCTATCTTTCTGCCGCAGGAAAAGGCGTTTCTCCCCGCGAAACCGCGCTGGCAGCAGACGGTGGGCTCACTGCCGATGATTGGATGGGTGTTTGGGTCTGGTCAGGGCATTATTGGCGATCAGGTGCCGAGGAAAGAGGATGGTAGCTTTGATGCAAATGGGGCGAGTTTGTACTGGCGAATGTGGTATGCGGTGGATAGCTGCTTTGGAAGTGATTTCTGTGGAGTGAGGGATGCAGAGTACGACGACTAAATCGGGCAGAGGACAAGGACAAGAAGGATGAGATGGACAATGGATAGGACCTGGCGGACTGGTAAACATGAGCATTGGGTGGCGTTTTGGGCGCTTGCACAAGCGCATTTCTTTTCCTATATTTCAATGAGCGCCAGCCTGAGCAGATTGACGATGCAGCATCGAGCCATTTAAAGTATGCCGCACAAAGTGGTGTGCAAAATGTAATATTATTTCAAGAGCTAACGCCAACGCCCGGAAGATTAAATCTAACACGCGTGTGACCATCATGCTTTCATGTCCGTATTCAGTCAACCCCCATAGCAAGGGCAAATATGCCACATGCCTCGTACACTCTTCTCCTCCATCCCCTGGCAGCCCTCATTCTTGTCGTATTAGTGTGCCTAGACATATTGGCTCAACCATCGGATGCCCTCGCCGTATCCCTGCCTCATGACGACACTGCACATGAAGACTTCAACGGGTCGGATACCCTCGAGAGGCACCTTGCCCTTGCCGGTTGTCTGATATAGACCGAGCACAGAGCGGAGCTGGTCCTCGGAGACGGCGTCGGGGTGGTCAATCTTGTTACCAAGAATGACAAAAGGAGTGTTCTTGAGCTCCTCCATGGCGAGGAGAGCGTCGAGCTCGGCTTTCGACTCGGTAAGACGCTCATGGTCCTTGGCATCGACGAGGAAGACGATGCCGGAGACTTCGGGGACTAAAGACGAGTCAATGCGGTGTGCAAGGATTGTAGAATCTGGTAGGCGTACAGTAGTCACGCCACAATCGTCGGGCTTGCGCGTGGCCTCCAAGGTCAAAGGTTGTGAACTTGACGTTTCCTATCGAGAGCTCCTCGGAGGTGGGGTGCAGGGTTGGCTGGCTAGAGGGATGTTAGCTAGCGACGAGAGAAGGACCGTGGTTCACGTACAGAACAGCAACCCTGTCGTTCTTGAGCATATGCAGCAGCCTAGATGCGTTAGTCGAATCGCGCGCGCCCAGTTCGGTTGCCATACGTGGTCTTTCCAGCATTGTCACTACATCAGAGTTAGCTATGGGCGTCTGGATTTGAATGTGTGTGGGAATGCGTACAGTCCGAGGAAGAGGAGCTTAGCATGCTGTACATATGTTAGCCTCAGTCTGATGATCGTGTCCACAGCGCTCATGCCTACCTTGTTCATAAGTCCAAGCGAGGACAGAACATCCCAAACTATCATGCCATGTCAGCGTCTATTCATTCGGGTCCTCGGTGATCGAATTGTGTATAGAAAGGCGTATGTGTCGTATGTGGGGGGTAAGGTATCGATGCGCATGTGACAAGGCCGACGTAGCCATGTTATGGGAACTTTGGAGGTTCTCAAGGGAAGAGTGCAAATAGAACAGGCTCATCGTATATCTATAGCGCTATGTCTTCGCCGTTGATGCCGCATATGTAGACATGGCTTTCGTCGGGCTTCATCCGTAACGGGAGAGACAAATGGTAAACTTACACCTGGCGCAAGGTCAGCAGGGGTAAATGAAGTGACAGCATAGCCACTCACCAATCAATAATCCACATGATTGCAATATAGACTTAAGCGGAGACTATGAGTGGAAAGTGCAGCAGGGTGGCGTCGGGTGTGGATGGGAGAAGTAAACTTGGGGAAGATGGCCACCATGGAGGGCGGAAGTGAGCGGTGGTCCGGGCGCCGGTTTCTTGGCGGCTCTGTTCCGAGCTCTCGCGAAGAACTTGGACTTGCACCCTCACGAAACAGAAACCACCGCATTCCCGTCTAAATCCATCACAATGGCCGTCGGAGTACGTCAGATTCCCTCCCAGAACCCTGTCGAAGCTGTTTCCAGCCCAATTGCTGCGCCGCCAGCGAAGCCCCGCCCGCAATGGCAGCCCCGAAGTGAATATCAAGAAAACTAACTTGTCCCCCTCCTACAGCGCAGCGCAGCCCTCAAGCTCGACTGGACCAAGCTTGCTACGCAGCTTGGTCTCAAGGGTCAAACCGCCGCTTCCCTCCAAGCCTTCAAGAAGCGCAACGACGATGCGCGCCGCAAGATCGCCGTCCTCTCGGAGCAGTCGCAGACTGTTGACTTCGCCTACTACCGCAGCATCCTCAAGAACCAGGCCGTCGTCGACGACATCGAGAAGCAGTTCAAGGCATTCAAGCCCCAGACGTACGATGTAGGAAGGCAGATCAAGGCCATTGAGGCTTTCGAGGCCCAGGCCGTCCAGAGCGCAGAGCAGACCAAGTCCGTCGTCGACAAGGAGTTGAGCGATCTCCAAAAGACCCTCAAGAACATCGAGGAGGCCAGGCCATTCTCTGATCTCACTGTTGTATGTGGACTCGGCTATGGATGAGTGGGGTGGACTATGTGTGTGCTGACGAATATCGCAGGACGAGGTTGCCGCTGCCCAGCCCGAGATTGACAAGCGCACCGAGCAGCTCGTCTCCAAGGGTCGCTGGGCCGTTCCTGGCTATAAGGCACGTTTTTGGAGCAATTGCCCTGATCTATGCATGAATACTAACAACCCCGCAGGAGAAGTTTGGCGATCTGTCCGTCCTCTAAACATCTTCTTTCCCTGTAGTCCAAGTGTACCCGATCTGGGTTGTATTACCTACGTATTTGTGAATAGTTCCAGAGAGTGGAAATGCAATCTAGATTCTGATCACATGTATTGGGGCTTGTACACGTGCATTTTCCTGCATCGTGCTAATGACACAAGTGATATGATGGAACTATTCCAACTTATATGCCTTTCACTAACCACTCCATTCCACATGAACTGTCTACAGTGATTCTGAAATTGGCACTTTGATCCATGTCAAAAATATCAAGAAACAGTCTGCTCCAAACTGGTACTTTCACCTTACCCTTATCCAAAAAATTCAAGCTAAACACATGAAAAAGCAATTAGAGCCATAGATCAAATGTGGTACACGCAGTTGAGTAAATGAAGGATTATTCCCAACGCAAACATGGATACTTCAACATCGAAATCACGCTTGTATCCAGACATAGACCTGCCGGTTTTTAAATCAATGACGCTTAGCAGGATAGATGATGAAAAATGAATATTTTTCACACATGGAAATAAGCACATTAATACACACATCTACCATCCAAACACCGCTATTATTCGAGGCTGCTCGAAGCTTTATTTCGCTGGTATCAGGATCCAAGACACATCTCTATGCGTAACTTGGCTTCATATTCAATATCTAACAGATCACTGACTTACTATCACTGCACCGTAACTCTAACACTGTGATCCCGAATATCTAGCGTTTTTAATTTTCCTATCCCCGCCTCCATGTTGCGAAAGAAAGCCATGGGGGGGGGATAGTGTATGTAATTCACTGCCTTGGCTACACTTCGTACAGCAACTCGATAAGTTGGGGGACGGAAATGGGGTTGGGAGATAGCATTCGGCACGTAGCTAGTGATGGAAGGAGGATATCAAGATTGAACAAGTCTCGTCATACCATCTCCACCGTCACATTCCAATACCTCAGCGCTCCTGCATATCATACTACACCTCAATCCTGTCCTAACAAAAAGAATGCTTCATTCATCTACATGTCATTACCATCTACGTTTTTTTCCCTCCCTTCCCAGTCAAACCACCCCCTTATACCAATTACCTTTTTTATTATCCTCATACTCATAAATACATAATCTCATAAAGGAGTGTCGTTATCTAACCAAAAAGAAAATCACCCTCGAAACCCACCACCATTCTCTCCGCGCTTCATAAAGCCATTAACCCACCCCACACATCTCCATGTCCATCAACCTAACGTCATTCCCATCATTTGATATTTCTCGGTTTTACAAAGCCAAAAACACCGCAAAAACCCCACCAAACAGCGCACCCAGCCCCGCCACCGACGACACAGCCGCAGCACCGGTGTAATCGGGGAGAGGAGGCGAAGTATGCGTAACGCTGTGGTTTCCGGGGGGAGAAGTGATTTGGGGCTGGCCGTCTGAGATTTGGGTTACGATGGGGGGAGTGGGCTTGGGCTTGGGCTTGGACTCGGGAGTGACGATGGGGGATGGGGGGAGAGAGCCTGGGGCGGAGGCTTGGGGTTGGCCGTCGGAGATTTGGGTGACGGGGGGTGGATGGGGTGGAAGAGAGCCTGGGGCGGAAGCTTGGGGTTGGCCGTCTGAGATTTGGGTTACTGCAGGCTCAGAGGCTTGGGGCTGGCCATCGGAGATTTGGGTGACGCCGGGGGGTTTAGTGTCGCTTTCGCCGTCGCTGTCGGTGACCATGACGGCCACGATGTTGATGGGGAGGCACTGTTCGCCGATGGATTGGCTGTAGAGGTTGTAGAATTCGCCAGACAGGCACTGGTAGAAGAGCGTGGAGCCCTTGAGGGACAGCGAGTTGTTGCTGCAGAGGCCAAAGCCGTCGACGTCGAGGGCGCCAGCTTGGACAGGGCCGTCGAACTGGAATCTGTGGGTTTTGTTAGCTGGTGTCGAGGAGTAAATGAGTAGGATGTTTGTCGAGACGTACTGGTAGTTGGAAGCAATGTATCCATCACGACCAGCTTGGTCCTTCAATGCACCGTCCTTGAGGGTCATTGTGAGGATACCATCAAGCTGGCGGCGAGCGAGAGCACGCTTCTTGTCCGCCCCAGGGGCCTTGGCAGTGGTAATGGTGAATGCTCCATCAACCGAGGCCGCACACTCTGAACCAGAAGCGGCCTGGGGGAGAGCAGCGACCGCAGCCACAAAGCCAGCAAAGATAAAAGACTTCATTTTTGTTCAAAAGCAAAGTGCAGATACTACTACTAGTATCAAACACTGCGATTAATAGCGAGAGTGAAGATAACGATAGAAGAAGTAGACTGATTGAACGAGGTATCAGTCACTGTGATGTGGGTAAGTCGTGAGAACGAAGGTGTGTGTGCGGAGATGATTTGAAAAGGACAAAAAAAAAGAGAAAGACAGCGAGCAACAAAGCAGTTTTATAGCCCGTTTTTTTTCTCTGATCAAATCCCAAATGCACACATCATCATCGACCATGTCTGATCCGGTATGACATGATCAACAGTCTCTCCCGCATTAGAGCAGCCGCGGCCAATTGCTCGCTTTCCACGCGTCTGCTTAGCGTCGACGCTTCTGATGCAGAGGAAAAGAAGATGGCTGAAGAGTGAGGAGGGATGGCTTGCATTCACCCGGCCCCTCAGTTCAATCCTTGACAGCCTTACTTGGATGCCGTCAACAACCGTTTTTTTGTTCAAGCTTGAGCCACACAAAAAGGGCTGGGTGCACTCCGCGGTTGACAAACTGCTTGGGTCAGATGGTGAACCAGACTTCTCTTGCCAGATGGTTTCTATCCCTCGCATCTTTTCCCGGGGAGGGGAGGGGGCCAGTTATGCGTGCGATACGGCGTCCTTTGCAGTTCGCATGTGGTCTGGCGTTGTTATTTCTCCAACCCCCCGCTACCTAAAGGTTTGTTTTCGTCGCCCATACCAGCCAGCTTTGCAGGGAAGGAGGAGGGGGTTGCAGTGTGAAAATGCAAGAGGTATTAGCTCGCTCAGTTCAACTATTGGAAGGAAAAGATTCACATTGATCCGGGCTGTTTGGATTGGTCTCGAGGGCCCTCGGATACCCGGGCGTGGCCAAAGATCTGTGCCCAATCGAGCATGACGCTTACGCCGACTAGCGCAACGCTTGTGCAGTGAGTGTGGCTGGCGTTGATCATACGAGTCTTGTCTCCAGCCTCTCACTTGTCGTGCCGTTGCCTGGGAACGCTTGAGACGGGCTGGGAAAGTGGGGATGTGGAGGCTGCTGTGTAGTATATTGGCTTGCATATCAATAGGACGCTGCTTGCGGAAGGCCGATGAACAAGCTTACTACTTGCATGTCTTGACCTCTAGAACGCCTCTCGTTGGGAGTGTTGAGTTGAGATTAGTCAAATTTTTGAACAACGACACCACAGAAAAAACCACGTGTTACTATGTGTTTTGCAAACACTTCTACGCGGCGTGGCTGGGTGTAGCTACGCAAACATTACCGTTGCTGACAATGGTTGGTGGACGCACACGCCCAAATGGTAAACTTGACGTCATACGGTATTTTCCTTCTTACTTTACTAGTAGGAGAGAGCTTTTATCCCTCTCAACACACGCAGCACTAGGCGACTGCACCCACTTAGATAATTCAACCTTGGTATCCGGTCCCATTGCAACCTTCGCAAGAGTCAGTGTCACTGAGGCTTCAGATGGATAACAGCAGTAGATGCGCATCTGAGACCATTTGCCCCTCCTCCCTTTCACAAACATGCAGATGTACAGGACACGTTCCAACAACTGTGAAGATCTTCAACTGGAATAGCAATCCCTTATTGTGAGGCTTTTTTTTGGCCGAGGCTGCCAGCCTCTCGATGGACCCTGGGTTGGTCCGTAGAGTGCTCTAGCGACGCACCAGCTAATGTCTCACTTAATAGTTACTGCAGGGCCTCGTATTCTACTACTAGCTTTCCGCACCCCGCCAGGCGGTAAAAAGTGCCGTCCAGTGCATTTTGGTTATTTCTCTCATAAGCTGTGAAGTACTTAAGGTGCTGCCTACACTCTGTGATCACCTGTTGAACCTTGAATGCGCGCAGTCATTTTCAGAGACTAAGTGAATCGCATCACCGCAATGTCTCAAGTAGACTTTGCAGGGATTCCAGACGACAGCATAGCAAGCCATGGTGCATGGTATCAGTCCAGAGTAGGCTTTTGGGCTGAGTATACTGAGTATTCATGGAACTGACTGCAGTTAGTATGTTTGCACGTTAGCATATCGCGCCGGTGTCACACCAACACCTCTAGGTTGAACGCGCGATGACTGCGCCGTACCAATAGCCACACACTATCGACCATTTGAAGTATCGAATATTAGTTTCAATTTATGCCAACCAAAAAAAGATGAGAATAATCAATCTAGTGTTACGGTCCACTTGGGTGGGGTTCCATTCTCCAGCCCTTCGCTTTGCCCCCCGCATTGTTCAGAAGCCCGATCAATCTATTTTCCTTCGCCAGCACGTTTCACGCCTCCTGCAACATCGTTTGCGCCCTTTTCAATGCTCGTAGCCACATCGGCGAGGCCCCGGGCAACGGGCCGGCCAGCACTGCCTGTGGCGCCCTCAACCTGGACGTTGGAAGATTTCAAAATCAGCCTTCTTGTGGCGTATATGCCATGCGCGCAGTCGTGAATATACTACTTACCGTCTCACCAACGCCTCTTCCAAGGGCTCCGACTACGCCACCCAGAGTGTTTGTAACACCACCAACAGTGTTTCCAACGGTAGAGGTTACAAACTTCACACCAGAAGTAACACCACTTTCATTTTGTCCGATGGGCATCTTGTTTATCTGGATCGCGTCTTGACAGGGTAGTAATTTGTGTTCTTTTCCGATTCTAGGGCTCGGGATGCTTTGTGGTAACAATAGAGTTTTGGGGGCTGTTGCAGACTTAGTAGATAGGAGTGTCGGTGTTGTATGCCGTCCACTGGATCTAGTGCATTTATGTGGTGGTAGATGGGTGACGTCATGGGGCTTTGCAACACCAGACGCAGCGTGTTTTCAAGAAATCTCGCACTTTACAGCCCCCCAGGCTTAGCCCTTGCAACTCTCATAAAGGCCTTGTTTTTTGTTTGCCACGGGTGATGTTGCGTGGCCATCCTGGCACACGTCGACTGCTGCTGGTTGGCTTCTACACAGTTGTTGGACAGATCTCATGTATAACCCTTTGCATATGTCATAGAGATGGACGTATGGTCATTGCTGGGTATCGCAAATTCATAGGATCCCCTGGGGGTTACCCTTGGTATTGCTTGTAGTGTTGAAGATCATGGCGATCACTCGATCCTTCGTGTCGTCCTTGGAACCTGTTGCCTACAGGCCTTGCCAGCACCTCTTACCGCACTGGGCAGGTGTGTAAGGATTTGTTCTTTAACAGCGACAAACGTGGAATCCTATTGCAGATGAAAGTGCAAGAACATACACCACACCCACCCACATGGGCATACGGACGGTAAGGGATCCGGGCCGGGAATCTGATCAAATCTCACCTGGGCGCCTGAAGAAGGCGCAGCCCACGGGATGCGAGAACATGAAGTCCCATCGCGCGCCATTGGTCGATATCATCTGGAAGGAAGCTAGTCCAACAACGTCGGGCGAAATATCTTTGCGAATTGCAAAAGCACATCGGGCTTACGGCCGAAGGCTTCCGCTGGCGGAGGTTTGTTATCGCCGACTTCAAGTTCAACTTGTGCTGTAAAGCTGTGAAGCTCACTACAAAAGTTTGTAGCAAAAGGCCGACTGTCCCACTTCTTGTATTAATACGTCAGTTGCTGTGTCAAAAGATTGCTTTATAATTACTCAGATTTCATGAGCATACCCCATTGAAGAGCTAGGAACATCCGATCTGAAGTTGGAAAAGCAAAAAGCTCACCCATACCCAAAACTACGCCAGTAGGCCACAACCCAAGCAATCAGCAAGAGACGCGAATAAAACAAAATGACCTCTCTCTTCCCACATCCGGTCTATGCCGAGGATCAACCGTATGCGCGCAGTATCTTGTACCTTCACGTTATGCGCGCTTCAGCCATGTCCTTTTCTTTTTTCTCGCTTGCGCGCTTCCCAGCCTCTATCATTGGAGCACGCTACAACAAGGCGCCAATCGACTACAACGTCATACTCGCGCGTACGCTGAAGACAGCGGGCCGTGGACTTGTGTTGGGAACAGTAGCGGGTGCGGTGATGACGTGGGGCCGCATGAGAGGACTCGAAGAGATTGAATGGAAAGATAGATCGTGGAGGATTTTGGAAAACAATGGTGAAGTACAGACGGACTGGGTTACGCTGGGTTGTGCAAGCGGAGGTGCAGTTGCTGCTTTGATTGCTGCACGGAGAGGAATGATAAAAATGCCCGTTGGTGGAGCGGTGCTAGGTGGATCAGGTGCTGGTATGGCAGCTGGAGTGCCGTACATGGTTGCATCGTTTGTGGCAGGAAGAAAGTCTGCTTGAATCTGACGACGAAAAGGGGGAGCAGAGATAGAGAGAACTTGAAAAAGGATAAGCTGGAGCCAAAAAGGATCCTAAGCGGCCTTTGTGATATGGTAATATGTAAGACGATCTGATGAATTCGTGGTGTCAAGTGTGTATTGTTTCCTTATGGACTTGTTACTTTCTATGTCAAGATGACTCTATTTCCTTAAGCGATAAGCAGCGTATGTTGGCGTAGATTTTCATCCCCTATATTTTTTCAGAACTTGGTGTACAGTTCAATCGGATGTACACGGCTCTTTCTCTGTAGTGTAGTCAATAGTCAACCGTATTCATGCCCCGGGGCTCACGACGAGACCTACATGGGCATACTCAACTGGAGAACGTGCCCTACTTCCAACAATAGATTCAAAGTCAATACATTGGTGAGACGACCAAGAATATCGGACCAAGCAAAGACAAGACATGTAAGTATGCATAGTGAGTAGAGAAGAGCGTGGGTCACTACTTGGATGATGCCAATATGTGGCTAACAGGTCCAGGTTTTCGGAGACGATTCTGCCAGGTTGATAGTTTGGATATTATCAGCACCATCCCTGGCATGTATGTGAGCATTGTCCATTTCTTGTATTCCTGGGCGCATATGAGTCTGATTCAATGACAGCGGTTTCAGAAACATAGTTTCAAGGCGAGTACGACAAGTGCAAGGATGGCTGCGTAGAGGCCATTGGGCAGTCGCAGCAAGTGCCGGGTAGAGTGTGATGTATGCACACATACCGGGAAAGCTCGACATGAGGTCTGGCCTGGAGTGTTTGTATGCTACTACCTAGTAATAAGGGTAGTATACTAGCACGCATACGTGTTGTTGCATTCGTTTGGTTTGGCTGCATTGGAACATTTTTGTGATGTGCCTTGGTCCTGGACATATACCAGAGGGTGTTATAGCATGTACCCCTCGTTGTGAAGTTGAAATTATCCATCCGACCACGCCAACCCAACACAGGCTCCGATGCCTATTGCTGAGGGTAAAAGCCCCCTTGGCGATTTTGCTACTTGGGCTGGTGTTGGTCTGGACGCGATATTGGCTATTCGGCCAATCGGGCATATTTTTCAGTAGTCGCTCGGTCGGAAGTGACGCGGCACAGACGGACATGGCAGAGGGCCAGACGCGTGGATGTTCCGTGCACAGGGTCCATGAGAGCCTTGAAGGAAGGGCACGCGCCACTTTGTCGTGGGGCTTACGGGCATCTGGTAATCTTCATGGTTCGTGTTTGCAGGCGGCGGTGTGAACGCTTGCCGGCGGACGGAGCAATACGTTTAGAGTAGCGGGGCGAGTGTAACCGATAATGGGCCCCCCGAGCGAGGGCGGAACGTGAGACGTCTGACCAGAGGATTAGGCGTTGGTTCGGCAATGGCAGCCGTGTGGTGTGGTGTGGCATGTGGCAATGGCAGCGTAGCATGCTCTGGCTATTGACGGGCGTCGTCATTGGGGAGGTTACGGCAATTTAGAGTAGCAGTACCAGCAGAGTGAATTGAGTGCATGTGAATCATAGAGTCCGCGATTGCCGAATTGCGGGGGGGCGATATATGGTCGGTGGTAAGTGTGGGGAAGAAGAGTGCCAATACCAGAGTAGAGTAGTCATCCCAATACCACGAGGCAGACGACCAGGGGTGAGGATGATTAAGAAGGTGGCGATGCGACAAATGGCAGCCCGTCGCGTGTGCATGTGCATGGCATGGGACGAAAGACAACGTGGTGCACGCAGTGGCAACGGCTTGCTGGGCCTCTCAAATGCCATTGCCCCGGGTCCCGTTTCAGTATCCAAGCTCCGCCGATCCCTGCCAGGTGCACAGCAGGATGGTTCATCTTGTCGGCCTGGGATATCAAAAGCAGCTTAATTTCTCCTTGCGGCCAGACTAAAACAGGACCCCTCTTTGTCGCTGTTACCAAGATCCTTCAAATACATATACACGCCCGGCCACCAACACGGCGCAATTCTCCAGCCCAAGAACCATGCCACTGACCTGTTGACGACTTCGACATCATCATCATCACCTCGACCTCCCATCTACATCTACTACCTCTTCCACACATTCACAACTACACATCCACAAATCATGGCGCGACATGTCCGAAACACTCTCGTCTCCCTCCACCTCTTTGCCCTTCTTTCTCATGCCGCCAATCTCAACTACTCGGGCGAAGCCGTGACTACGCGGTACTGGGACTGCTGCAAACCATCGTGCGGGTGGAATGGCAAGGCCGATTTCAGCAGCCCCGTAGAGTCGTGTACAGCAGACAACAAGCCCACCAACCCTGCCGCTGGCACTGGCTGTAACGGTGGTGATGCCTTCCAGTGTGCCGACCAGCAGCCATGGGCTATCAACGACACAATGTCCTATGGCTTTGCCGGTGTCTACATCATGCCTTCCCTCACGCACGGCGGCATCGAGGACGCTTGGTGTTGCGCATGCTACCAGCTGGACTTCACCAGTGACCCACTGATCGGAAAGAGCATGATTATCCAGGCCTCAAACACGGCATACGACATTACAACAGCAAACCGCTTCACCCTTGCAGTAAGTCATGTTTTTTTTTCAGAACCGTGCTCGATAGTGCAGTGCAGAGCTGAGTCTTTACCAGGTACCTGGTGGCAACACAACATCGGTCGACGGATGCGCCAAGCAGTATGGCGTCGACCAGTCCGTCTTTGGCCAGAAGATGGAGGGCGTCAGTTCGAGCAACGACTGTGCAAACCTACCTGAGGCCCTGAGAGCGGGATGCCGGTGGCGTTTTGATTGGCTCCAGGACGCGTCGTTCCCCAGGTATTTGATTTCCACTGCCGGCTACACACCATGCACCTAGCACTAACATTGCACAGCGCCAATTTCAAGCGTGTCGTGTGCCCAGCCGAGATTACGGCCAAGAGCAACTGTGTGCGCAACGACGACAAAAGGCTTGCTTCGGGCCAGACGACTTCCGCAGCCCACAGTCTCAGCCCTAGCCTGCCTCGCACTATGGCTCTCGTTGCCGCTACGATGCTAATCCTAATATCGGTATAGCATCGGTGATGCTCCCTGCGCGTCACGTTCCTGCGGCCCGCTCACGATCCGTCACTCTGTTCATTTCGCTTGCCCTCCTTTTGCACTCTCGAAGCCGAGACTGAATGGCATCGTCAGATGACAAAGAAAGGGCAAGCCCATTTCATGCATGGATACCCTACCCGATAAAATACCCGCATTAACACGCCCACCCTCCGTGTCCAGACCGCACTCGCTCAGGACTCGGAGTCGCCGGTGATGTGCTGGTGCATAAGTGTGGCTTTCCCCGGTTTTTTCTCTCAGTCTAGTATCATCTGGCCACCAATGGAAAGGGTGTGTGTAAAAAAGATGACATGTACGCTATTACGATTGATCTGCATATTGGTGTTTGGAAAGCTTCTTTTTTTCATATAGTGGGTGCCGATTTATGGACCACATTAAGCCTTTGGAGCGTTCAGTACTCTGGTGAGAATGATGATCACTTTGTTCTTGACCACTCAAACTCCTCCATGTTCAGTCATGCCTCTCTAAGTGTAAGCATGAATATATGCCTTGTATGCAGATCCTGGAGTCATATCGGACGAGAACTAGTGGGGCAGTATCTGTGGTAAACGGTGAAGTGGCTTGCTGGGACGCCAGCTGGTTGGTCGAGTGGATACAACGATCCAGGCATTCCAATACACCCTGAGCAGCTGGCCGTCAGCCAATACTCCATGCCGGATCAAACAGGATGCAAATCACTTTATTGCGATTTACCCTGGTTACCGTCAGTGAACTCTAACGGACTGCCTGAAGCCGCAGTCACTTCCGCAAAAGCATATGTTCCCCGGATTTTTATGTAAAGTACAAAAGTAAGCGAAACCCATTAGTACAGACGGCAAAAGCACTCAGGCGAGCGCTAAGGGACATAGCGCGGTGATTGTTGTAGCACTAGAGGACAAAATACACTTCGTTTAGGCAGATTGACAAGTCAGCGCAGAGGATTAAGACGTCCAGGGCAGCGCCCTTGCCGTTAGCCTCGCAAAAAGAGAGCCTTTTTGCTCGCCCGAGGCAAATGCGCGCGGCCTTGAATGGGGGGGTGGGCAGTTAAATTATCCATATGAGCCGTCGAGCAGGGGTAGTGCAGCCTCGAATATATTAATCGTCGCCCAACGTGGCAACGGAAAAACAATGTGGAGAAGAACGAGGGGCACGCGCGCACATGGCTGGTGATGTGCGAGTTATTTTTCTTTCTTTTTGCCACTGGTCGTGTGGGAGTGCATTATCCCGTGCAATTATGCAGGTGCCGCAGTGGAATATGTGTGCGTGTATGTGTGTGTGTGGCGGGTGGTGTTGGGACAGTAAGTAGGATGTGGAGTGGAACAAGGGCGCAAAGGGAAGGAAGGGGGAAATTGGACCTTCGCTATGCACCACCAATTGCCTACTTGGTCGCTTCTCCCGACCCACGCGACGACGACATCTCCTGTGCTCAGCTCATCATCACACTACGTCTGGACACTTGTGTGACTTGTACTAGGCGCCGCGTATACGTATACACCCGCGCCAGATTGATCTTCGTATTTGCTAACCGACTGCCTTGCCGGGACACTTTTGTTACATTTGTGATACTTGGTCGTCGCAACCGGATGGCCGCTGCCGACATGTACCAAGTAAGTACGTATCTACGAGGATACTCCGACCGACACCGACAGCAACAACATCGGTGACGACAACGACGACGACGACGACGCAAGGACTTTCACATCGACACATGTCCGGACAAGGTTGGCAAACGGTTCCGCCTGCACCCGCTGGCCCAACAGTCTAGGTTGACGTCTGGCAGCCGTCAACGAAACAAGAAAGAGCGAATAGGCGCCGCAACTTTGTTACATAAATCCACCGAGACCTGGCCTCACCTACTTACTTACCGAACCCGAACCACCAAGGAACGACACCATCGGCAGTGTTGAGAAATCCTGAAACTGCCAAAGCCCCAATGCCTAGCTCGCGACACGCTACCTGGTGCGGCTATCCTGTGTAGATCTCCACGTCCCAATATGGAACACGAGCTCTGGTCGGCCCTTTGACGCCCCGAGTATACCTTGCATTGTGCTTGCTAAGTACGCCTTTCATTGCGACATGCTTGGCTACCCAATTCTCTTTTCTCTCAAACCGCCATGTCCACTAGTGGGAAAGTAGCCTCACTTGTTCTCTTCTTGGACAACACAAGTAGAAACAGTTCTGGTCGGAGCACGTCAGCAGGCAACATGCTAGTAATCGCAGTCTACACTGCGCTCTTGGTATCTCTTAGGCCGGCCCTAGCATCAAAACGGTAACACCTGTAAGTCCAAGACAGGCAGTGCAAGTCTCACACTTGTATTAGTGCAACGGCCAGGCCCAGAAAAAAAGATAAAGGAATAAAAAAGCAAGACCGAACCGATACGAACATCTGAAGCACCAGTAGCCTGATCGTCCAATATCCCATTTCCACAAACGTGCAATGTCGATGATTCCTCAACGTCCCCACTTCCACATGGTACCCACAACCCGATCCCATAAGCTCCAAGTTCCAGAACCTCCAAGACTCCAACCATTTTTTCATCTCCGAATCGAATCGCACGATCTAATCTCCGACTCCAACTTTGTCATGACCACAACTTACCACCAACCCGACACATACGTGTCGCGGGAGATGAATGTCCAAGTAAAAGAGGCGAGTAAGAAAGCAAATGTCGTCTCGTCCCATCCGCCCATATCTATACGCCGGTTTATTAAGACAAGGAAATCTACGTTTCCCCCCTCCCTCGTTTGTGGGAGATATAAAATTACCATAATGGGACCCCCTAGTAATGCGTAGGATCTACTACTTTGTAATCTTAAACCTTTTTTTTATCTTAATAGCAAGCACTTATACCCTTTCTACGTCATCCCTTCATTTTAAACACAAAAGAAAAGTCGCGCATGCGTAGTACACTCGGACAAAAAAAAACATACACTTTGATCAAATTTGCAACACAAAAGTTTACGAGAAAACTGAAAATGCAAGATAATATGAAATTTCACAAGGTGAAACTTTTGGTCCTTTTCACTTGCAAGCAAAATACCTACTTCCAAGTATCAGAATAGAGAGATATCATAGTGACATCACACGTATATCCTCCCTTACTCACAACTTACCAACCTCTCCACCCTTCCCTTTCGCTTCAACTCGCAAGTAAGGTACACACGCGCACTCATTCCGCACTTTCCTTTCTCGCAATCCATCCCGTATCCTCACATCGTACCCACCCCCCTTTGTTCCCGCGGACCACCCTCCCCCCTCCCCTGCGCCCTGGTAAGTAAGTAAACTCACCGGCTCGGTATCCCCTTTCCCCCCCCTACACCCATGCCTTGGCTCGGTATGTACCACTCGTGTTCTGTAGTGACATCAGGGGCGGGCGGGGTGGGCAATAACGGGGCCGACAAGCGAAAGAAAAACATGAGGCATAGCGGCGGGAAGGAGGGGGAAGGAAGGGAACACGGTGTAACGGGGCAATGTGGGACGGACGTGTTTCAGGAAAGGGGGGCTTATTACGTGGATGATGTGGGGATAACGGGTTTGGGCTGGTTGCGGGATCGCGGGTTTGGGGGGGGGATCGAAGGAGGGGGGGGGGTTAGGTTGTGAGATGGGTTTGTTGTTAGACGAACGTAGAAGATGGTATTGTAGAAGGAAGAGAGAGCAAGGAAGAAGGTGGTGAATGTTGAATTATTTTCCTTTTTTTTTTT